GGGATCCCGAAATCCCCGGAATCTGCGATTTTTAGCGATCCCAAAAATTCGAAATTTTCGCAATTATGTTTTATTATAATAATTGGATTGTATTTATTATAATAATTAAGATTGGATTGCAACTACCTCTAAAAATTTGTTGGTTCTCAGTAGCATTCATTAAAGTTTCTTACCATTTTTTCTCGAATAAACATTATTTGTTTGTGACTATTTTATAGTACTAGTTTTAATTAAATTAAAATTGCTGTTTATTTAAACTGTAAATTTTCTTAAACTATAATCGTTTTTTATATGGAATATGGCAAAAATAGTAATTCTACGGTTTGGAAACATTTTTTAAGAGAAGAAAAATAACAGAGAGCGTCGTGAGAGTATACTGACTGCAAAAAGATTTTAAAAATTATAGTTGGCTCAACGAAAAGTCTCCATACGCACTTTTCGTGCATAAAACTAACCTCACATCAACTACTTACTTCCGTCCTTACTTACACTACGTTATGTTTCTACTTACTTACCTTCTGTACATCAACTACTTACTACGTCCACTTACTTTCCGCCCATAAAATTAATGTCACATTAACTACTACTTCAGCAAACACACCAGATGAACCACCAACAACAAAAAAAAAAAACTTAGTGATAAACGTGCAGGTCTTAAAGAGTTCTAAAAATTACCCACAAAAGTCAATGCAATGCGTAAAACTTGTATCGTAGATTACAGATTATAGATTGTAGATTACAGAAAAATAAATAAGAAATTCTTTAATTACTGTACTGCTGACAAAAAAAAACCTGAATTCGGTGTAGGAGATGATTACGTAGCAATGTTTATTAATTATTTGATAAATGAACATCACTACGAAACCGTTGCAACATAAATATTAATTTACGTATGCAAAATTGTCAGTTCTTGAGCTTAGGCTTAATTAGTATAGCCGAATCAATGTCTACAGATAAGTGTATTAAGTTATTAGAACAAAAGCTTGCGCAACATGGGCTTGATTTGCGAAATGATATTGTTGGTATTATGACTGACCTGTAAATCAACAAATATATTTTTCCCATAGCAACCGGCCGTAATTGAAGTACCATTTCAAAAGCAGAAAAAGAAAACGATATCAAGTATAAAAGACAATTTACAGAGAGTAACTCATGCGAGGATGATGATTTTTCTGACAACAATGATATGATGATCACTAGGTTGATCTCAATGCTAGTGATAATAGGCATAAAGGAAACAAATGTGATGCTAACGAGGTAAGTTGTGGTCTAGTGATCAAAAAGGTAAAAAAATTAGTTACACCAATTTACAATTAGTTACACCAATTTACAATTAGCGGAAATAATTTATTTGAAAAAAAAATGTCCACCAGAACCGATTTGCATTTTCGAAACCATGAAACGTCCTAATATAATAATCTAAATTTTGAAAATATTCTGTTGACGTCTTTAAAAAAATGGGGGTTAACGAAAGCATTAGAAAGACTGGAAAAAGGAGATAAAAACATTATTCTGAGTGAACCGTATGACTTCTCAAAAGTCAAAGTTGACACACTCTCTAGAAACCAGTCGTTCTGTGTTTGTGACATCTGTTAAATTGCTTGAACTACAATTACTTCACGATCAACATCTGTTTACCACGGTAGTTTCGCAATGGACATTTATTATGCTCAAGCGCAATACGTAAAAATAAATTGTGCTTTTAAAACTGTTTTTCCACTAGCTTCGAAAACGGTGAATTTAGAGGTATTTTCAATCTTTCATATATAGGATACTAAAATATTAAATCTCATTAATAAACTTTTTTTTTTTATTAACTTACATTTTTGTAATTGGAAAAAATGTAATGTAACAAAAATATTTCACGCCTGAAGCATTAATTCACCTGTAAAGTTGACCGAGATTTTATCGCGGATTTTACTACCATTTTTATTCCTTAATAAAACCTATGAAGATCGATTTTTGAAATATAGTATTATATATCATTGGAAAGAATAAAGGTTGAGCTTTTATATCTAACACAGTATTTTTACCAGTCATTTTTTTTACATGAACATGTGCAGTTAAGAAGTTGGATAATATTTTGATATTTTTTCAGTGATCGTAAAACAATATGGCTGACTTATTTCGACAACATCTTAAAGTAACTTTATACAAACATATTATGCATATATATATATATATATATATATATATATATATATATATATATATATATATATATATATATATATATATATTTGACATAAACTATACAATTTTATTATGCAAAATCATTTTATTATACATAAAATATAAATATTATTATGCATTTTTCCTTCTTCGAGGGATAATGGGCGGTTTTAATGACTTTGTTATTATGCTATTTCTTATGAAATGGTCTCTCATTTTACTTTCTAACTTTCGTATACCAAACATGCTTGAGTATATTCTTTCGATATTATTAAATTCTGCATGAATACTCTCACCACCTTGCTCCCCGTATAATCCAAGACCTACTCCCGATGTACTCAAAAATACTCCCATGTGGTTCTCTAACATATGCATTTTGGAAGTTATTGATTCTTTTGGCCACGTTTTTCAAAAAAACTTCATTAACTCACATACTGCTTTTTTTACAAAAAAAAATTAAATAGTAAATGTAAGTAAATATTGGAAAAATTCGTCTTTAAATAATATTTATTAAATATTTCTTATAATAATCAATAAAATTACCAAACCTCTTGATTTTTTCTTTGCTGAATTAATTACATGAGTTCATTTCATTGTGACACTTAGAATAGTTGTTAAACAAAATATTAAATTTTCGTTGTATGTTAATTGCCTCTACATGAATTAGTTGTTCTTCATATTTTATAGTATTAAAAACTACTAGGAGAATCGAGTCACATAACATTTTTATGTTATCAACCTAAAAAATAAAACAAAAATCATTTACCACATTTATATAATAAAAGTATTTATTATATGCATATGCTTTATATGCACGTATAGGATATGCATATGCAATATATTTGATCAGGAATGTTGATTGGAAATGATAATTTAATGCTAAAATTGTGAAAACCTGCATAACATACAGAACAAATTTTAACAGATTTTATTTCATGAAAATACAGATTTATATTTTCATACCTTACCTTCAACATTTTATGAACATGATTTCCGATGAAGGAGCAACTATGATATGCTTGACGTTGCACTCCACACGACTGTAAAACAGATTCAATTCCTTTTATTATTGGGCTAATTCTTTCTAGTAATTTAACTTTACAGCATTCTGCAATTTGTGCCTCTTTAAAAATTAATTATAATTATTGTACAAAAAAATCCAGATAATACACTCCCTAAAATAAAAAAAACAATGCTCTAAAAATGAATCTTCATTTCGAGTACTATTTAATAGATACCTTTTCTATTCTCTTTGATTTTAACAGTGCCATTCTCTGTGTACATTAACTGCAAGTAATCTGAATTTTCAGGGTTACGAAGTACTTCAATGACACTTGTATCTTGAATAAGAAGAATTTTGTTATTTATATCATCTATAGTATATTTTAACTGGCATATCTCTACCTGCTTTTCAACATATTTGTCAAATTCACTCAAGTCAAGGCGCTTATCATTTATTGCAAGAAACCCAGCTAGTTTGATATCAAGGAGGTGACATTCAGCTTCTAACATATCAAAGAATATATATATATATATATATATATATATATATATATATATATATATATATATATATATATATATATATATATATATATATATATATATTATATGCATTAAAAGTTTGGCAACAATTTATACACACCTGTTGAATTGGTATATCAAACATTCACTCATCAATTACATTATTGAATTTCTTTGCATTTTTAATGTTACCTCCATCATTTTTGAATCGTTCATAATCTGACTTATAATCATAAGTTCATAATCATAAGTTTGAAGCGTTCTTAAATTTATTCGTCAATTCCGATCTTCAGTATTCAATTGCATTTCACTTGATGTAATCTCACAGAATAAGCAGCAATGACGACCTGTTAGATAAAAAAGTTATTACATAATTTTTATGTTCTTATTACAAATAAGTTATTTAACTTTAATAAATTTTGCAATTTTATTATTAGTAATTTAATTTAGAATACAAGGTTAGTGAATACAAAATTAAGACTGACCAGTTGCTCCTGTGATGCCATAGTTAGCACACAAAAAAACATAATCACCAAATATAAACACACACAAACTTTTTTCCCTAAAATTACAGTTTATTAAAATTGATTTGAAATGTGTTTTTTTTCAAAAAATTTTTTTATAAATTGGAGAGCAAATAATTTTTGGAAATATTTAATTATTAACCTCCATTTCATTGTTTGATGCTGTCTAATTTTATCTATGTGTCTTGAGAGCCCAATTTTAAGGTTTGCTCTATAATCTTTGGCCTCAAATATATTAAAAACTGTTGTATTATTCTTTGAATTACGTTTAAAAACATTAGCTATCTGATAGCTCGTTTTAAATGAACCACCTCCGTGGTCGCCACCAACCTTTAAATGTATTTCACTAGTATCTATCTTTTCATATGTTAGTTGGTTATATCTACAACAATAAAGATGATATTGTATATTTATAAAACAAAGAATAGAATTTATACAAAATATTTAAGGAAAACTTAAAAATATTTTAAACTTGCCTTTCTAATTCATCTAGTAACTTGATTAAATGCGATGGTAAATTATTAATATATGCTGTAGGAGTTTCTTTTATTTCAAAAGTTCCTTTTTTATTTTTGAATTCAAACAGAAATTCTTTGTTTTCAACAATCAAATTATCACCTGACCAACTTTTTGAAACTTTTTGCTGTTTAGAAAGTGACAGTAGTTTGACATTGTTTGTGTGGAAAAATCTGAAATAAATAACTATAAATAAATATATGTGTGTCGGTGCAGGGCCAAATTTATATCTTCGGTCTCAAAGTACTTACCTAATCATTTTTTTCAAGGTAAACCACAATCTGCCTTTAGTGATACAATATCTTCTGAGGCTATCTGAACTTGGGGGATTTTCGCTTTTTTCAGTATATTAACTTTATCATTTTTATTAAAAGAATTAAGCATAAGTGCTGCTTGATTTATTTTTGCTTTTTTTAGTGGTCCTGCATTTTCAATAAGTGATTGGTGTATTTGATTTTGACACCTTTTAACAGTTTTCTGGCTTATACTATTTGAAGTTTTATAGATCTTTGGAGTCACTTTAAAATGTATAGCCTGTTAAAGACCAATTATTCAACTATAAACGCTTTTTTTAAACTATTATTTTTTTATATAGAATATTTTAATTTAAAAATAAAAATAGCTTACCCGCGGACCCCAAAGGAGTTCAAAGGAATATGACTTGTTTTTTGCCATTTTTAATTTTGCAAAGTGAGCAAATGCATAGTCTAACTCTTTAGGAATTTTACAATTCTCATTTATTTTATATACCTCTGTAACTGTCAATGAAGAGCTCTATTGTTATTTGCTGCTAACTTTACATGTTTTTTCAGGTTCTTCTTTATAGTTTATATTTTTTGCAGTAAAATTTTCTTCGCATGTATTATTACAACACTTTATAACTAAATTCTCAAGTATAGTTTGCATTGACGTTGCTTTCAAGATACTACCTAGAGTTATATTAGAGCAACATGTTATGCATTTAGTTTCTGTTTCTAATTTTCCAATTTTGTTTGGAAAAATGCATGTTGCACAAAACAAATGATGACAATTATTAAGTAATATAGGTTTATGTAACAATCTTTTACAAATGTTGCATACACATAAATCTTGGTGTGAATTATCAGCTACATCTACAAAATTATGGCATAAACGAGACATTCCAGAAAAACTTTCCATTATTTAAAAAATTGACACCCTTGTCCAAACAACTTTTTCATTTAATGGTGGTCTTTCACACTGCTTTTTTTTCTTCCTGCCAGATTTTTTCAAAAAACATATGCATCTTATTCTATAATATTCTATTATTATCCCAAAGGTTAATAAGTTTGATACTCAAAACAAAGTTCTTTGGTATTGATCGTGAAAACTGGGCTGGTAGTCAAGAGAGAAGCAATTATAAAAGATTTCTCAATAAAGTTTAAGTGTTAGTGTAGTATTTACGCAAAGTTGGACTGGTGTCCAGGGAGGAAAAGTTAACTATTTTTAGAGAGGGGAAAAAACTTAAATTTTAAAGTTATCATTATCTATGAAAAGTTTAACGTTATTATTATCTATGAAAATTTAAATTTAAAATTGTCTATGAAAAATTTAAAGTTATTGTTATGTGACAAAAACCTTATCTATGAAAATATTTTTAAAGTTATTATTATCTATGAAAATTAAAAGGTATCAGTATCTATAAAAATTTCAAGTTATTATTATCTGTGAAAGGTTAAAGTTATTATTATCTATGCAAATTTAAAGTTATTACTATCTATGAAAATTTATACTGGTACTATCCCCTTGGTTACGGCATGAGTAGGTGATGGCTTCGCAACTATTAAAACACGCACTGATCAAATTCCAGCGAAGCAAACAAGCTAAATGATCTTTCAACCGTTCCAATCGATGTCGGGTGAGCTTCAGGAAGTTGATCCACTCGCAACTAGATCTTAACCGACATTTCAAATAAGGATCAGATCATTAGAAAAGCAGCTAAAACCACCCTAAACACAGCAATAGTGTAGATGCAGGTGTATCGATTCATGGTGTTAGCAAATGGCGGATTTTCAACTATTAAAACAACACTGGTCCAATCTCAGCGAAGCAAACTAGTTAAATGATCTTTAACCCGCTTCAATCAGTGCTGGGTCAGCAGTAGCCCCCTCAGCAAGTTGATCTACTTGCGGCCAGACCTTAACCGACACTTCACAAAAGAAGCAGAGCGTCAGAACAGTAGTTAAAACCACCTTGAGATGAATCACCATAGCGATATAGTTGACAGCGGACGTTGATTGGTGTAAGTTGGGAGCTTGGTGGAATTTTTGTGATTAATTAAGTTTAAATTTATTATGAGTAATTAATTTTTAAATTATGAAAAAACTCTTATATTCACTTAAGTTTAAATTTAATAAGAAATTATTATGATTATTTCAGTTTAAAATTTAACTAGATAATCTTCTGATTAATTGTTATGATTAATTACTTAAGTTCAATTTAAGTATTTCACCTTATGATAATTTATTATGATTAGTTCAGTTTAAATTTATGAAAAGTTAATGAAGTTTAAATTAATTATTAGTATCAAGGTTATATTACACAAATTGTTTATTGGATTTATTTTATTATTTTTATATAAAAATACTAAAGAGTTCAATGTATTTAATGTGAGCAAGGTGATATGAAACAATTGATGCTGTATCAAAAATGTTTTCACGGCATGGTTTACCTCATGGCATGGGTCATAAAGTGTTCACATATTGACTGACTTAAGTAGGAACAGACACAGAGGAGTTTGCATGCATTGACAGACTAAAAATAGGGACAGTTGCAGTGGGATGTTAATAGAATTACAGAAAATGAAAATAATTAGTTTCTTTCTGTTGTCTCTGGAAATGAGCATGCGATTCTGTTTTATGTCATCCAACCTATAAAAGCTCAGTTGACCTGTTGAAAACTGGTAGCTTTAGTTTCCCCATATTAAACTGCTTGGGTATATCACACTCGATCAACTTTTCCCACATCTTTTTCTTTACCTTCTTGTCAACATTATAGTCAGCTAGGACCAGTATAACTAACTGTTCTTTTAAGTACCAAGTGTGCCGCAGCATGCTGACAAAAAGAGCCTGCCCATGTTTTGAATAACTGTCCATTTTTTCAAACAATGACTTGATGGCAGCTAGGTCATTTAAAGGCGACTTGTCAACCATATATGATTTTAAGAAAAAGGGTCCATAGCATATAGAAACAAACGATTAGACAGAATTGAACTTAACATACTTCAAAACTCAACCAAAATACCTTCAATTGCAAAGGAAGTAGAAGAAATTAAAGAAAGTTTAAATTTTCATGAAGATCTCTTTAATAAAAAAATAAAAACCGCCATTAATTGTCTTGCAAAAGAAAATCTGCCAAACATCAAAATACAAAATAACAACAATGAACTTATAAAAATGAATAACCAACTCAGAGAGATTGAGGATAGGTCAAGGCGTAATAATTTAAGAATCGATGGTGTCTTTGAAAATGACAATGAAAGCTGGGCTGAATGTGAAAAGAAGGTAAAGGAAATATTTAACAACATATTAGGAGTCAAAAATGTAAACATTGAAAGAGCACATAAAATAGGCAAAGTAGTTCACAACAAACATAGAAAAATAATAATAAAACTACTTGATTTTAAAGATAAAACTGAAATTCTTAACAACTCTTCCAAATTAAAAGGTAAAAACATTTTTATAAATGAAAATTACTGCAAGAAAACAAATATGTGCTTATTACTATCCGTGGAAAGTAGAAGGGTTTCTATTTAACAACATTAGCAATAAAAACTTATATTAAATTAGAATTCTACACGTTAATATTCGAAGCATTAATTGCAATTTTGAAAAACTTCAAAATTTACTTAAAGAAACAAAAAACACTTTTAATATAATTTGTTTAACTGAAACTTGGGCTAACGAGTTGGCCAACGATTGGCCAACTGCCAACGATTTAATGACTCTCATTTTTATCTTCCTCATTTTGAAATAATCCCGCTTGAAAGACAAACTAATAAGCGCGGTGGCGGAATTCTAATTTACGTTCATGAAAATATTAGGCATTGTATTAGAAACAATCTTAGTATTTCTAACGGCGATGGAGAACTTTTAACCATTGATATAATAATTGAACAAACAAAAAACATTCTTCTGAGCTGCTGTTATTGACCACCTGATGGTGTGGCCGAAAACTTGAGCATGTTCTTAAGGTAATTCGGGGCAGTGCGAGACACTTAAGGATTAAAAATTATGTAAATACACCTGGAATTAAGCAAAAAACTAAACAAGTGTACAGTAAATCTTTTTACAAATAGCAACAACGTGTCTCATTTTCCCCACCTTACGGGGCAAAACGAGACAGCATATGTTATGCAACTAAAGAGAAAAAATAAGAGACTTATCCAATTATTTTTTACCATAAAAGATGTTAAATATAATTCATAAAAAATATAGTAACTTTAGCTTAAAAAATTAACCTGTTTGGCTAATCTAATCGCACAGTTAAGTAAGCCTTAAAAAACATAGATTAAAGATAGAGATTAAATATTAAACATAGATAATATTAAATATTAAACATAGATATTAAACATAGTTCAAACTTAAGCACCACCCGAGCAAATTGTTGCACAAGTTATACTCAACTATAAGACATAAATTAATTGATCATAGAACGTTTAAATATAATCATGGCACACACACAGTTTACACAAAAACTCTGTCCCTAACTAAACAAAATAAACTTCATAGTACCATAATTTACACCTAAAGCATGGACACATTTTTGGCTAGACTCTGATATTTTTTGGTTTTCTCCATATTTAATTTTATCATCTTTTTTTAGTTTAGTCTTTTTTTCTGATAGTCTTTTTTTGTTATATTTAACTTTTTTTTTGTTTTGCAACCCCTCCTGCAAAGTTTTTTTATACAATATGCTTGTCAAAATTTCTGACTTTTCTCCCTTTCTTTTTGTTGTCTTCACTTCAATAGCTGGAATTAATAATTCCAGTGGTGCATCATCAATCAATGAATCTAGCATCCGTTTTCTTTAAAAAAAAATCATAGGAGGTATGTAGTGTCCCACACAATTAAAAGTTAGTATAACCGTTGTTTTTTGACCTCTCTCACCACTAGTTTCTGAAGATACAACACGTTGGCCTATAAAAATACAATTATAAATATATAGACTACAAAATAAAAATAAATACTCACACACAAGTAATAATTTGGTGTTTCACTAAAGCAAATAAAAAAATTTGCAACTTCTCACTTTTTACCTTTATGAGCTATTACTTTTCACAGTTGTAGATGTGATTTGCTTCAAATTGATTTTTATTGATAAGTTTTTCCAGATTGTCAAAATATCTTTGAGCAGCAGCCTTATTTAAACCAAAAACTCAATTTATGGATACTGCCTCAGGTTTTCGAATAGACAAAAAGGGTTACCGTTTCAAAAATCTAACTATAAAATCTCGACCTTCAAGTTTCTTTTCAGTATTAAATTGATAGTTTATTTTATTGCGTACAACATAGTCATACACCACCCTTTGAAGTTCATTAATTGATAGACCATAAAAGACTAACTCCATTTTGATCATATACTGTGCTAAATCTTTTTCTTGAGCTTCAGAAAGCACTTTTTTATAAGAACCAAGCAATTTTATGTGTGGTTTATCATCAGGCATTGTTTTTATTGATTTATTAACTCTTCTGTTGAGAGAATCTTTTGGAACCGAATATTCATTAGCAGCTTTACGCAATGTCATTTCTTTATTTTTAGAAAAAAATAATAAAATTTTTACAAAAATTTTTTTGATTTTTCGGAGTATATATCAGAGTATGTAAAAATTGAAACAACTGAATAATGGACTGCCTCATCTTTCCCACAAAGACCGTCTGTTAAAAACATAAAATTCTTACCTTACAAATCAAACTAAGTTTTCTTTTCTTTTTAGGGTATGAATAATAAAGAAATCTTTTTTCAAAAAATAAGCAGCACGACACTGGTACATCTAAATATTTATCAAGAATATGGCTTGCATTGAATATGTCTTCACTAAGAAACGCGTTGAAAAAAATAATGGCTGTACTAAGTTTCAAAAATACTAGTTATTTTGTGATCAAACAAAGTAAACATTCCAAAAAACAGGTGTATTAAGC